GACAAGTACAGTAATGTTCCTCCCATTTCGCATGACGTGGAACCTTCGGCTACCTAGGGCTCAAAAGCTCGGCATCTTCGTCCTGTTCGGGAGCGGTTGGATTTGCATAGTATGTGCCCAACGAATCATTTCCCGCATTCAAATGAATATACTGACACTACTACTGCTAGGTCTTCGCCACGCTTCGTGTCGTTCAAGTCAGCGTCAAAGATGGTCTGCCAAAGATACCAGACCCAAAGTGGTTGCAAATGTGGACCGTCATCGAGACTTCGATGGCAGTCATTATTGGCTGCGCTCCAGCCTTCAATGCTCTTCGTCGTCATTCTGAACACCACAACGTTGAGATAACGTCAGTTCGTCTTGATATGGAGACTGCAGGTGGCGGACAGACATTGCGGGCGGAACCTTACATGCGAGTGCTGCGAACGAACGAGCAAGGGAGTGAAGAAGCACTGCGTCCACGTAGCACGCCTGGACTGGCATTCTAGGTCGGAAACTTTTCCCGATCATCACTATCAGCATGTAGTATGATGGGCTACTGTCAAGAACGTGTTTTACAAGTGGCCTCCGTCCTGTCCATCGGGCTATGAGCCAAAACCTTTGCACACGGTCCGAGGCCCGAGTCATGAAAATTCGCATTTTGTCTATTTGCTTCCTGGAAGTGAAAGTGAGAGTTTTTTGACTGCTGCGGTGACGTCAGTCAAAAGCGCGCAGTCACCACGAGTATCCTTCACGATCTGTGGTCTCTCAGTCAGATATCACCGTTCCAGACTTCTTGAGTCTGTTGGTCTTGTTGTTGTTCACGTTCACTTCTTCCGAATCAGGACGACAATAGCCAGTGTTGACGGTTGCGCGGCGTCATCGACGAGTGTAAACAACAACGCGTACACTGCGCGTCCTCTTTCACCTCCGCGCTTCCCATGAAAACTTTTCCAGTCACCACTCGCCAACGCAGAATTTTGTAAGCTTGGCTCTACGTTGCATCTTGTCTCTCGTTCAGACTTCCCTGGCTCTTGTCCACAACCATCCAAACGACGCAACACAACACCGCTCCAACCTTTTGAGAGTAAGCTACGCAAGGTAAACAACTCAGAATTCTCCATCGCGTCACAATTTCGCTAAGTCATGTTCTGGTGACAAAGTAGACTCCAAAGTGTCCAATCTTGCCACTGAACGTACCGCTTCCGTCTGTCAGCTCCCACAACAAGCAAGATGCCTACCTTGCGCAAAGGGATCAGAGGTGCTTCCGAAATCCACGTCTCGATTCATACCCCAACCCAGACAATGAAGCTCGAGCCCCAGTCACAGCCTTCCGTCATCTCCATCACCACACAGAAACACAAACGCTGCGCAGACGAGCCGACCAACCCAACCCTCACAGCACCAGCCAAGAAGCTCAAGACCTCACCAAGATGCGCCCCAGTCACCACCGAAAAGCCTAAAAGTACCAGTCGCAATACATCCGGCTCAAAATCCACGCTCGTCCCCCGCGGCCCCCGCAAAAAAGCCACCCTCGGCGTCAAAGACTCATCCCTCCTCCTCATGATCTGCGACAGCAGCACCACCCCGCGCAAAACAACCGAACTACACTTCCGCAAGATCCCCCACTCCCTCATCGACTGGCACAACCCCCACCACATCTCTCAGATAAACGCCTGGCGCAACCAGATCTACGGGCGCGCGGGCCTAAAAGCCCGTTCGGTGAGCCTATGGTACGAAGCCGAGGAACTGTGGTTCGAGCTTTACTTCCAGCTCTCCATCGTCGAGGCGCGGAAGCGCGGGATCATGCTTCCGGGGAGTAGGCAGGTGAGGGACGCGTTTAATAAGACGTTTGTGGGGAGGGTGATCAAGGGGAGGGGTGGAGAGGATTTGCCGCCGAGGGTGGAGCGCGAGGGGAATGCGTTTGCGTCGAAGTTCAATCGTATGTTTCCGGCGTTGAGGGCGAGGTTGAGTGGGTGTGTTTTGGGGAGGTCGGGGGATGTGTTTGTGCCGGTGATTACGTTTGGGATGATGGAGAGGTATAGGGTGATGAAGAGGTGTTTGGCGGAGAGGGGGATTGAGGCTGAGTCTGAGTATGCGGATGGGCTGGAGGAGTGGCGGTGGTTTCTGTCGCATCTGCCAGATGTCGAGATGCAGACTGTGGTCAAGGAGGAGGAAGATGCCAGGGAGATGAAAGCGAAAGAGTTTGATGCTGTTGCTGCTTTGGTCAGCCTTGCCAACTCGCCTGTTGAGTCTAGGGGTGACTAGGGAGCGCATTGCATACTCGCTGTTGGATCTGAACATGGAAGACAACCTCACAGAATGGACGAGCAGAACCAGAAAAGAATAAAGCGATTTGGAAAGACGAAACAATTGTTGATGTCTAGAGGTCGCCAGATTTGGCACTTACTACGTTCGCCACCCCATACATGTCCACATTGCCTATCTATTGCACCGCAGTGAATCCAGATATAGCACCTCTAGTCATCAACAAGTTCCACGATGTCGCCGAACTCCTGGAACAGCCACGGCTCCAGGTCCTTGAAAGCCTCGGGTACCGGCTTCTCCGCGACTGCTGAGATAACGGCCGGCTCATCGCCGAACATGTTCAATATGCCTGCCGCCTCGCCGTCGACACACGCGTATTGTTGGTCGCCGGCTGTATGTTGCTCGCGTGGCGTAGCCGTCCGTTGTTGCATATTTGGCGACGTGAATACATTTGCGGGTATGGCATTTGCAATCTCGGCTTTGGCACTGTCTTCGCTGTCAAAGAAAGGCGATCGAGAGGACTTGATTTGTGCTTTGCGAGGATAATCGGGATGACTGAACTCCGGCTTTTGCGGAACGTGATCTTCGAAATTGATCAAACTAGAGTCCATCTGCTTGTCACCTTCTCCGTAACCCAGGTAGTCATCGTCGATGACGTTTTCGAAGGGCTGCATGGGATTAGTGTCGCTTTCACGAATCTCTTGAAGATTTTGAGAATCTGCAAGCCCAATGAAAGCCTCTCGAAGGACAGAGTCGTCATCGTCAAAGGCGTCAGATTCGTGGGAGGCTACAGGAGCTGCAAGCTCGTAGTCCATATAATCTTCCGGCTCTTGTGTGTCACCGAGTGGGTCTCGTTGCGCAGACTGATGCTGATGATGATCAAAGTCGGCTGATGGCTCGTCAAACTGAAATTCACCGTAATCGCTAGAAGTCGAACGTGGCTCAGCGGTAGAAGGGCCCATAAAGTCAAGGCTATGCTCGCCACCTTGGGAGTAGCAATAGGCTGGCTTCTTGTACATGACGGAATGAAGAGAGGAAGGTAGCTCTTTACCCTGGATAGTCTTGTGCAGCTGATGAAGGCCACGGTAGTCCCTAGGTCCGTTGGTGCCATAGTCGGCTTTCTGCTTCTTTTCTTGTTGCGTGAGATCGAGCTCGTCAATCGGGGCAGAGATCTTTCTCTTAGATGCTGTGAGCTGAAGCTTGGTTTGCTTCTCTTTGCCTTTCGGCGGCGGTGGTTGCTGCGTCGGCTCAGGTCGATCTTCGCCCGATGGTACGCGCTTGGCCACAGATTTCTTCTTCGATGGTTTATCCATGCCAGTCTTGCAACACTGGTGCTTGCATGCACTTCGATCTTTGCACGGATGATTGCAAGCCCACCTTCCATTAGCTAGCTGTACTGGCTCCGGATCGTCTTGTTCAGCAGCAGCAATCGGTCGTTTGCTCTTTACGTCATCCTTGTTCTTGGTCGCTTTGTTTTTCGCAGTATTCTTCCGTGTGATAGAATCGATAGGGTCGGCGTAGTTCTCGATGTGATCAAAGTCAAGATCGCGGAAGGAAGCGTTGACAAGAGCATCATCATCCACATCACCATCTCCATAGTCATCGCTGGTGGCGGACACCTTTCTGCTCGGCCTTGCAGTATCCGTGCGGCGCTTTGACATGTTAGACTGGTGTGATGCTGGCCGCTCTGACTCCAAGCGCTTTGGGGTTGGGAACATAGAGGCTGCGACCTGGGGCTTCACAGCGGCGGCACGCATACTGCCAGCTAGTAAAAGTCAGTCGTAGCTCCCAGAATCGAGCCACAATACATGCCTATGCCATCACACATGACATAGCAGTTGATTGACTGGTCGGGGTTTGTCAAGAGCGCTGGGAATGTGAGGCTTTGGCCAGACCCAAGTTTTTGGCCACTGCGACAAAGATTAGTACAGCGCAATACCGAGATCGTAATGGCCCACCTGATGCGAGCAAAGTGCACTTTGCGGCCATCGGAAGTGTCCACCAAAAGGCACACGTATATGAGTTTGTTGTTGAAGCGCTGGGGCGGCTGCTCGTTGATGAAGCCAATGTCTGCCTTGATCTGGATTTTGACCCCATCGTGGGTTTTGATTGCCTGAATAGCCATTAGAACATGCATTTCAAAGAAAGATCGCAGACTTACGGTTGAAGGTTGAGCATTTAGTGAGACGCGGAGCTTCGGAAACGACCGGACTTTCTCGAGCACGTCGAGGCCAAAAGGTGGATTTCGACCGACGAGTGCTTCGATCCTATAAGGCTCGCAACCTTCAAGATCTTCCATGGACTTCAGTCCAGCATTGACGAGCTTTCTGACAGCGACATTGCCAATACTGCCAATTTGCTTCATTTGGAGCGGGCTATCGTCCCAGATTCTGGCGCCTAAGCTTCTCTCAAGCATGAGAGCACTGTGGATACTGATGGAGTCACCTAAGGCAATCTGACAATCGATGATGCATCGAATCAGACTGCCAATATTCTTGAAGATGATCTGTGTCTCTGTCGTGTATTGAGAACGATGCTTGCCGGCCTCGCCTTCCCACGAGATATCGGCAGACCCAAGAACGGATTGTACGATGAGAGATACTTTCTGCGATGGTAGATCAAGGTTGACAGGGATAGCCCAGCGGATCGAAGCGGACTTGTTGAGCAGCTTGTAGAATGCCTTTTCGCCTTGACGAAAGCGTATTGTAGAGTACTCAACAGCCTGAGCGATGGCGGAGAGCTGTGTATGAGTGTCAGTGACGTCCTGCAAGTAGCTTCAAGGTTGTGTGACTTACAATCTCCGAGGGAGTTGACTTCAGCCCGAGTTCCATGAAGACTTTCATCGTTTCGAAATGTACGTAGTACCGTGCCATAGCATGGCCAAACTCGGTACATCGGAAGTACTCTTGCCCTGACACAAGATTGGTCTCGCGCAAGAGTGTGATGTCGCGGAAGCATATGTCGTCAACTTGCTCCTCGATGCTTTGGCCACTTCGAGCGCCGTCCAATTTGTAGTAACTGGGATTCTGCTGGAGTCGGACGTAAAGGAATGTACCTCTTAGCCATTTCCTAGCTGACTCTAGGTCGCTAATAGTTCCAAGTCCAATCTCGGCGTTCATGTGATCTACCAGATTGAGATGGAGTTTGCTCTCTATAAGATCCTGGCCCGTGACCAACATTTCGTACCGTCGGACTTTCGCCTGCCTAGTCATAATGACTGCTACAGCTGAGTCATCGTACTGAGGTCGTCCTGCGCGACCCAGCATCTGCATCATTTCCAGGTCCGAGTACTCTTGCATTCCTTCCGCACCCCAGGCCATGGTATTCTTGATGATGACGAGATGGCAGGGTAGGTTGACTCCGACTGCGAGCGTGGATGTGCAGCAGATGACACTGATCTCGCCAGCGATGAAACCTTTTTCGATCTTGGTTCGATCATCGAGATCAAGTCCGGCGTGATGAAAGGCTACACCGGAAAACACGGTATCTCGAAGCTCCTTGTTAAGCAGCAGGGGTGGCTTAGACGGAGGCTTCCACATGCGATCTCGGTCTGATGCCGAGACCCACCAGCTTGCTATCAGCTTTGCCGTGCTGACTGTGGAGTTTCGGGTTGCGCAAAAGACCATGAGCGGCTTACGCTGTGAGTGAGAAACGATAACCTCAGGGATCTTGGCATCAAGCACCTTTTCAAAGCCGAACTCGTTGCTGGAGTTGTATGCAAAGCCTCGAACGTGCTTGCGCAGCTTGACTGGGCGGAACTCTTCACCAAACTTCTCATTGGCGGCTGGGATGTCTGGTTCCGACGAGTTCTTCCCTAACCATGCCGCAATGTCATGGAAGTTGGGCACTGTCGCTGATAAAGCCACAAAGCGCACATTCGTGCCGATAGATTTCATCCGCGAAACGACCGTCTCAAGCGTGGCACCACGATCTTCCTTGAGTATGTGCACCTCATCGATAAGAAAGACGCGGATGAGTCTCATCAGTTTCTCATGGTCTTTCCACTTCCTGGTCATGCTGTCCCACTTCTCGGGTGTTGTTATGATGATGTTGGCGCTCTGTACGTTGCGTAGATCCCCAAGGTCGCTGTCGCCGGTCAGCTCGGCGCATTTGAGACCCAACCTGTTGAACTTGGCTTCCCAGTCACGTTGGCGTTCTGCACACAAAGCCTTTGTCGGTGCTTGATAGACCACTTTGTACTGGCCGGTCGCGTTGGTGGCAACAGCTCGACAGACAGCGAGCTCGAGAATGACGGTCTTCCCACTGCCAGTAGGGGATGCAAGTACGAAATTGTCATCGGTCCTGAAGACTCGGTCAAAACACTTGGACTGTACGGCGTTGAAGTTCGGGTAAGGAAACACCGTTCGAAGACGATCTGGTAGGGTAGTGACAGGGACCAGGCGGATACCTTGGCACATGGGAGCAGCGCTAGGCACATCTTCTGGATAAGTCTGCGGCTCTGGGGGAGCTTGTCGATGATGCGGAGGATTGAGGTCGCCTCTGTGCTGTGCGGCGGGTACGCGTTGCTGGCTAGCAGGTGGTCGAAGACTGGGCAGTGCAGCCTTTCCATGGGAGCGCTCATGTTGTTGTCGGTACTCTTCAGCAACAACATGGCCGTCGCCTTCGAACGGTGGGGCCTGTGAGCCGTGTTGAGGTCCGAAATCAGTGACTTGCTCGGCACGTCGCTGACTTGCCCTGAGAGCTGGACTAGAAGACGGGCCGAGAGGCATGTCGGAACTGGACTCTTGAAGCGGAGCGGCATTGTAGGCAAAGCGACCTGGACGGTGATCAGCATGGCCACAGCCACCCAAGGCAGACAGAGGTGCTTTCGACTCACTCATTTGACCTCGCATGGCCTGCTCAGGACGCGCATGGTACTCGGCTTCTCAGTCAGCAGGGGCCTCTCTGCAGTCCAGGCTAAAGTACCTTCTTCATAATACATATCCTGGTCACGAATCTGGTAAGACGGCTGCGATTGTGTAGGCGCCGCATTACTAAAGAACGTGGAAGGACCTGGTGCAATTGACAATCTCTTCTTGCCTTGTGCCGCTTGCCGCTGGAAGTCAGGATACGGTTGTCGAAGCACTCTGTCATCTGCAAGTGTGAGCGAAGAAGTTGCGGAAGCGAGGGGACCACTTACCGAATGAATCGAGTTGCTGGCCTCGGTCGTACATACTATCGTCCTCAACCACGTCATACTGGGGGTCGTCATATTGAGTGGCGCGATAGCGATCCCGAGGTGCGACTGGTCTTCCAGGCTGCTTGAACTGAGGCCGAAGCATGTCGTACTGCGACATGCGGCGGGGAGCGCCGAACTGCTCGTAGCCATCATGCGGATAGTGGTCGTCGTCCATGACTGCTATAAGTAGCTTGATCAGAGGCTCTTTGACGGTGGAGGCGTGGCGGGACAAGTCCAGAATCTAGAGTGGGGCGTTAAGTGAGAGTTGAGATGAGAGGGAAGTGACGATGGAGGAAGTCGCGGCCTGACGTGCCACATCCCGATTTGGCGGAGTCACTCAACGGCAATCCTCGATCAAGGAAAGTAATAAGCGCTTAGATCTCTGTGAGTTATGCATGCAGATCATCTGCGTCTCGATCAATGGTCCCTAAATTACTAAAGCTCAAGCATCTCGCTTATGGGAATGCCGTTCTATAGAGGGCGACTCCGGTGCTGCTTTTGGAGCAGCCTCATACACTGATGACCTCCGCGGCTTGTTGGTATCGATGGTGCGATCCACCGTAGTCTTCTCGAAATCGGCAATCCTGACTGGCAACGATTGCGAGCCCCGCTCAGGCTTGGTGTAAAGATAGGTCGCGAACAGCACGACGCATGTGCCTAAGAAGAACTGCCGATGGTCAGCATCATGAGCCTCACTATGGCACTAGAGACTTACTGATCGCGTCACCCTGAAGTCAAAGAAGTAAACGCTTGCAATGCAACTAACCAAGATTGAGATCGATGTCGCAAAGTTCTTGGCGATATTATCGGCATAGTTGATGACGAGCGCGACCACAATGCCACCAGCTGCTTGAAGGCCGATAGCCGTCCACACCACCCAGTTGTAGCCGACGAAGAATCCAGTCTTCGCTATGATCTCCCCATCCTTCCATATCACGCCCAGGAACAACGACGGAAAGAGCGACCAGAAACAGAGCTGGCAGTTGCGGACCCAGAGCGGCGTCTGCTTGGCGCTCGTTGAGTCCTTCAAGATCTTCTCAAAGGTAACTCCGGCTAGGCCTGAAAGCGCGCAGGAGATCAGGACAGCCATGAGTCCAACCCGGTAATTCATGTGGGGTATCTGGGCTGCGCGATCCGCGTGTATGCCCTCGTATGACCCAGACCGTTTCCCTAGCCGCCCTGCGACATTCTCACCAAGGTCGTGCAGCTGCTCCAGCGTCTTAGTCCATGGCTTTGCACCCGACGCTTGTGGTGGTGACGGCGCAGTCGCTTGCGGTACTTGTATGATGGATACACCGATGATGAGAAGCAAAAGCGATAGCCATTTGCGCGCCGAAAGTGCTCTGCCCAGCATCAACACACTGAAGATAGCCGTCGTCAGGATCTTGAGCTGGTACGTCACCTGGAACGTCGCGGCGTCCAGGTTACTGACAGCGATGTATTGGAGCGAGTTCTGTATCGTGTATAGTACGGCCGGTATCGCAAGCTTCCAGCTCTCGTTCGTAAAAATTGCGGTCGTCAGGGTACGGAACAGTGTGGGGATCGTCGTGTTCGAAGGAAGGTTGCCTGACATCTCGTGTAATGCCTAGGACGGTCGTGAGCCTAACAGCATTTCATCCCTCTCAACCCGACTGCCGTACCATAGTCAAGCTTATAGCGAGCTTAATGACCTCATTTAGGAAGACGCTTGTGCTTGCGTGGTATCGTTGCTCTCCAGTCAGAGGCATTATCCTGGAGTAATGCATAACCTGGGGTCGCGTCAGCCACTTTCACTCCCTGCTTGCTTTTCCACAGTATCCGCATATTCTGTACGCTCTTCGATCGCGTTGGGGTAGTGGTTCGCGGTGGATGGCAATCGTACCAGGATGAGGGCAGAGTTTTGGAATATAAGCTACACATGAATTAGCTTCGACGTATACAATGAGAGCGACGAAGATTTGCTTACTGTCACGAGAGAAACATGCTTCATGGGCACCCCGCCCAGAGTTCCTGAAGCCGATCTAACAACCATGGTGGGCTTCGCTCTCGTAGATGTGCTAGAATGATGGGGGTTCGCTAGATGCGCATAGCGAAGGTTGTATCCGATAGCGATAGGCAGTACGTAAAATTACAGTGAATGTATGGCCAAACCGGTGCAGGGCAAACGAGAAATGTAGACTGGGTCCATCTTGAGTGCTGTCAGCTGGAGATGGGGCGCGGCTTCCGCTGCTCGAGCATCCGGCGCCATGGAGCTGCAGGGATGCTGCCGATCAAGCTTGGCGGTTTGGCCAATTTCCGATGACGCGCATCTCGACGCGTCACGGACAATCTCACCCTCACGACCACCACGACACCAATTGCTTGCCATATATGAGAGACGTTCCGCTCAGGTATCCTGAATACTGTGCCAAGAAGAACGGCTGTTTCAGCAGTGCCCTACGCGTTTCCGAGTATTTTCAGTATTGACCGTGGTGTACCTATGTAGGATTTGCTCATGCACCGCCGTCAGTTTTGCCGTTACGAGTACGTCGGGTACTTAATGATCTGATATAAAAGGTTGCAACTTGCCATGAAGGGCTATGACAGCTGTGTCGCGGCATGGTACTTCGTTCTGAGGCTGCGGCTGGGATGGTCGAATTTCGTCGAACCGAGGCCTGGCAAGGCTTTTGTCTATGCGTAGAGATACGACTGCGCCCGTGATTGGACCCATGGACTTCCGGTGAGAGCTCCAACGCCACCGCATGGCGTTCTCGCAAGCATAGCGCCAATCAAACACGACACCAACGTTACACGCATGAGCTCTCCTTATCATTCGCTCACATCATAGTTTGCAGCTGACAAGCAACGCAGCGGTTGCTGATGCCTACCTCTGCAGCCACTGGCACACCCCCGCTGGACTTAAGTTGGGGCGCGAAGCATGTTCCGTGATTCCATCTGATCTCACTCATGATCAATCCCTCCAAGATAACGTCGAACCGGCCTACACATCTGGTTCGGTTCGTCCTTCACAACTACCGCCGCGGACGCTACAAGAAAACACTCGGGCTCCTTAGCCTCACCGGCGCAACAATCTTACATCCCCCGTCTCGAAAACGTCCAACCGAAGCGTCACCTCTTTCACTTCCAATCTACCATGCTCCCATACCGATACTCAGCTCTTCCGCTTCCTGAAGCAGGCAAACACACAAGGCTCCTGAGACTCAGTCCTGGCGAATTTGTAGATGATCTCCACGTGGAACTGGAGCAAGTGCTTTTGGACGGCACTCCCAACTACGAAGCGCTATCCTACGTCTGGGGCTCGCCAGCCGATCCGGTTACCATCCTTGTCGGTCCTTCCCGAGGACACACCATTTCGGTCACGCAAAACTTGGCGACCGCGCTACGATATCTCAGAGACGTTCACAGCTCCCGAGTTTTATGGGTAGATGCAGTTTGCATCAACCAGAGTGATCTGGCGGAACGAAGCTACCAAGTCACTTTAATGAGCCATATCTACCGGGCAGCATGTCAAGTCGTTGCATGGATTGGACCTGAAGAAGATGACTCTTTGCACGCCATCGATATGATGCATCAGATCGGTTCGAGCATCGAAGTGGATTGGATCCACTTGACATTCACGCCTAAGGTGCAAATCAGCAATCCGCCCTCCAGTATGCTGGAAGAACTACTAACGAACGGATTTCGAGATCAGGAAGCCCATGCTGTCAGGCGTCTCTTGTATCGACAGTGGTTTGAACGTCTCTGGATTCGGCAAGAGATCGGGCTGGCTACTCAAGCAATCATTTGTTGTGGTAGGCAATCTATGCCTTGGCACCTGTTTAAAAATGCCTTCTTCTTCATCTATATGGAGTGCACCATAGTGATGGCTTCACTTGGAGATCAATACGCAAGTTTTATTTCCCGCATTTTGCTGCTATACGAAACCTGCACCAACAGTGTGTATTATCTCCAACATTCACGATCCGCCCTTGCCCAAGTTGTGTGCGCAGACCCCCGGGACAAGATATATGGCATCTTGAGCCTACTTACTCCACATCAACAAAACATGGACATTATCCCAGATTACACTCAGGATGTAGCTTTTGTCTACTCAGACGCCACTATACGATTCATAAATCACATGAGGAATCTATCCATACTCCAGCAGTGTGAGCTGCAAGACACCCCTTCCCATATGCCAACATGGGTCCCAGATTGGTCAACTGAGCTAAAAACGAGAAGATATCTCGGAGGCGCAAGTAATTCAAGCGCTTATTTCAAGTCGATTGCAACTAGCAAAGGAGAAGGAACGTTGAGTGTCGCTGGTGTGGCTGTCGCGACAATAAAGCATGTACAACTTATGCATTTCGGCGACGGCGAGGATGTATCTCAAAACATGCTAACGGCCCTATGGAAGATCGTCATATCCAACTCGGCCACTTCGAATGACAAAGAGATATCTCAGCTATCTGCGGTGTGTGATGCGCTTTGTAGCGGAAATTTCCGCCATACCAGGATCCCGGTTCGCGAAGAGCTCCCAGAGTTCAAGTCGGCCATGCAAACATTCAAGTCTATATTGACAACCAATTCCCCATTAGTCGAAGATCTTAACTCCTTGTCTCATTGGAACAAATACAAAGCCAGGGTCAGAGGCATCTGCCGCAATCGGTCATTCTTCGTCTCGACAGAAGGTTCCGTTGGAAT